GTAATAGTTGATTTTTACCTTCATTAACTATACGAACATGTAAGTACATTTGTCATCACGATTAAATAAATTAATGTAAAGTTATATGAAGTCTGCTTCACTTCAAAGAAATGTATGGAAAAAGATTGGAGGGAAAGATTTAAAAAAGGGAACATGTTTATATACCAACACAATAATTGCTAGATTGATCGATTTCGATCTATCTAACTGTTGACAGTAGTAGACAAATGTCACTTTCTTACAGCTTAAAAACTATTTTTTGAGAATAATTTTGAATGTAGTAAAATGTGAAACTAGATTAAACATAGTTTATGCAATACTACTAATAAAATGCTATATTAAAAGTTATACACTTTTTGAATGAAAAACATTAAGCATCCCTGTAGTATTTTAATATACTTATAGAAGTATATCCAACATGCGAGTGCTTTATAGACTGATCTAAGTTATGTGTACTCCAGAAATGGCCAATATTTTTCTAAGGAAATATTTCATGTTGCAAGTAGCGACACAAGTCGACGTTAATAGGTGCAAGGAATGTCACCTCGTCTCGCAATGAGCCTGATGCACATCTCGCGCCAGCAGCACTAGTCGGGCTGTTTAGCCAACAGAAACAGAGGCACACAGGTAAGTGATGGATGGGTCCCGCGAGTCGCCTTCCATCATGCCGATGCCGGTCCAATCAAGCAAATGCAAATTTGCTCCTCAACCCGCCGACTATTCACCCAACCTTCTTCCTTTATTGGGGATAACTGGAGTCCTAGAAGGAGCTTCTTTGCATTCAAAGATAATGCGTCAAATTGAGAGAAATTCACGACTAAAAAAGAATGTCGGTCGTTCGAGCCTACAAAGAAAAAGCTCTAATGAGCCTTAAACTTATTTCTAACAGTAACATTAGTCGACCCATTTCAACTTCTTTCAAATTATGTGGTTTTATTTTACTACGAGGGAATAGAAAAACATTAGATACACTTCATGTATATATGAAGAAGAAGAAATACTCTCACTTTTTAATGTCTACATATACTAAAATTATCATTCAATAAAAGTAATTGTTTTTTGAAAATTATTTGATTTTTATGTTGAAGGATTTAAATGAAAATATTCTTATTTTTGACATTCCGTGAGGTCTTTTACGGCGGAAAATTAATTGCCGCATTATCTCTATTCTGCTTTTCTCTCTCTCTCTCTCTCTCTCTCTCTCGTCAATTATATAGAAACGAGAGATTTTGTAGTATGAATTGTGAATTCAAGATGGATATATTCAGCTAAAAATATTCGAAAGCTCTAAATAGTTATGGCCTACAATAATTATTTTGAACACCTTTGTAGTCCACATTCACGCATGGAATGGACCAATTGTCCCAGACCAATAGAGCTCTCTCTCTCTCTCTCTCTCTATATATATATATATATATATATATATATATATATATATATTTATATATATATATATATATATATATATATATATATATATATATATATATACATTCCCAAGTCATCTTTTTCATTGTAGAGTCCATTGTCCAACTTTCACAGCCATATGGCAAAACAGAGAATACGTAACATCTGATCATTCGAATTCTGAGCTCTAGACTAAGGTCTGATCTTGTTTTTTTATGTTTTTGTTCCGTGGCATACAAATGTACGTTTGTTAGTATCTTTGAAAATACTAGAATTTTAGTTTTGGAAACGTTTGGATTTAAGCCGAACATTTCGCTATCATAAATTTTAATTGTGTCAAGTAACGATTTAATTTTGAGTCTGTTTCTTATTTCTTTATTTTTGAGTCTGTATGGTTCTTCTGAGGTATTTCATCTCTCTGCTGTTTGTATCCTACTCGGATATCTTCTGTTTAAGATCCAGTTTACTGCTCTGTATGTAAGCGTTAGTCTATATTTTGTTTCACATATTGTCATCTTCGTTTTTCTTAATATTTCTTTTTTGTTGAGAAATCCTTTATTTAGTGCCTTGAGTAGTTTTTTGTACTCTCTAGTCTATTGTTGAGATCGTCTTCGATGGTTTTTCTATTATTTTTTACTGTTCTCAGGTATTTGTATATATTTGTTTGCTTTATTTTAAATTACAACGTACATTTTAAGAAGTTTACTTCTATAATAAGACTATTTTGGATAACTAGAAGTAAAGCTATAAAAACTTTTTTAATTTTTGTTTGGCCTGAAATATTTTCATAGGCTTCAGTAGGTTCCTTTTCCCATTTTCAAAAATATTTTTTCATAAAGGTGTTTGTAAACTCTTTTACATAGTTTTGTTCAGACAATTACGGCAATCTCAATGGCTTCTGGTGTAATTCTTGGTTTATAGAAACGGATGGGTGCTAGAGTTCTAGAATTTTAAAAATCAATTTTGTAACCTGTCTGGAGATGATGTTGTGTCTAGATTTGAAACTGAATCGCATTTTGGGAATGGAAATGGGATGTTTATGAATTCTGTTTTGGAGTCTTCGATTGGTTTGGCCTATGTAAGATAGTGGACAGTTTGCGTAACAAGTTTCATTAACACTATGTTGTCCATTGAGGATGTTGTCTATATCTTATAAGAGATGAAAGTTTTTCATGTATTTGGGCATTGATGAGGATAGTGGTCGGGTGGAAACAGCTGGATTGGACGATAAAGATCTACGAATAATTACAAATCTATACTGGCATCAAGTGGCAAGAATCAAGGTTGAACAAGAACTGTCGGATGAAATAAATATAAAAAGAGGAGTGAGACAAGGCTGTATATTGTCGCCTTTACTTTTTAACTTATATTCGGAGGAAATATTTAAGGAAGCCTTAATGGAGACAACCGAAGGTATTATTGTGAGTGGAGTAACCGTCAACAATATTAGATGTGCCGACGATACCTTAGTCCTTGCCAATTGCGGAGAAGACCTTCAAAATCTAATGAACAAAATAAAACAGACTTGTGATCAGTATGGATTAAAACTCAACGTTAAGAAAACTAAATATATGATAGTTAGCAAACAAAATTATATACATGATGACGGTATAAAATTCGGAGATGCCACACTGGACAGAGTAGAGAAACTCGTGTATCTCGGCAGTAATATCAATGAGAGCTGGGATCCAACCGCAGAAATTAAAAGCCGAATAGAACAAGCCCGAGCTGCCTTTGTGAAAATTAGAAACGTACTTTGCAGTCACGATCTTAGCATTGACCTTAGAGTTCGTATGATATCTTGCTACATCTTTCCTGTCCTGCTGTATGGAGTAGAAGCGTGGACCCTAACTGAGGCTATGCTTAAACGCTTGACAGCCTTTGAGATGTGGGTATACAGACGACGACTGAAAATAAGCTGGGTCGACAGAGTTAGAAATGAGGAGGTCCTTAGACGGCTGAACCAAACAACACAACTGGTCAATATAATAAAGAAACGCAAGCTGGAATACTTCGGTCATATTATGAGACACCCTGAAAAATATGATCTTTTACATCTGATCATTCAGGAAAAGATCCAAGGTAATCGTGGTCCTGGTAGAAGAAGAACATCATGGCTGAAAAATCTAAGGCAATGGTATGGAAAATCAACTACATCGTTATTTAGAGCTGCTGTCAATAAAGTCACGATAGCGAATATGGTAGCCAACATGATATCCAACTATCGATAACGGTCATGGAACTAGAAGAAGAAGTGATCGGGTCAGTGACTTCTTTAATATAAGAAAAATTTTTGTATCATGATGGTCTTCTTTGGATTTGATAGAATGGGCGTTAGCTACCATTGGATGCTTCTATTAATATGATTTTCGCGGTAACTGTGTATAGAAGACTATTCTGCGGATCTATGTGAGTCGTCGAAAAGGTGTATTGATATAAAAATTAGCATATCAACGATTTGGTTATCTTGTGAAGACTTTGTATAAGGAAGTTAGCATGTAAGTAGTTAGTATAGGTGAATGTTTAGTAAAGAGAGTAATGGAAACCTCGGAATTGATTTTTCTTTTCCACCTCCACCGTAAACTGGATACTACGATGTATGCCTTTCAGATGGGTTTAAAAAGATACCAAAGCATTTTTGCCATCAGGCCGAATGACGAAAGTATCGTAGCCAACATTTTCATTTGTTAATGATGAGAATAGTGATCGGGTCCCAAAGTCTTTCAAGAGGACATCGGCAATTAGTAGAGAGAGTGGAGAATCCATTGAAGAATTTTCTCTAGAGTTTATTTTGGAATATGAAATAAGTGTTGTGACACAAAATGTTTAATGAGAGATAATTGATCTTGCTGGAAATTGTGTTTAGTTTTCAGAATATTTACAGTTTAAAAGGTAGTAATATTTATATAATATACTGTGATGATTTTGGTTATTTTCTACAGACGAGTTGTTGTATTATAAGGAACAAGTTTTTAGTACGAAGTATTAATGAAATTTGCTTGATGAGCTGATGAATAGAAGAAGTAGTATTTTGGGATGATTGTGGCGTTTTCTTTATCGGTAGGAAGAGTAACTATATTTGGATTTTATTAAAGGTCTTATTGAATGGGTCTCGGATTGATCAATGTTTGGATTAGCTTTTGAATTTCGAAGAAGTTTGAAGAAATAAATTGAAAATGATTTCTTTAGCTTGACAGATAATTTTCTCAAGTAGAATTTAACTCTGAAAATCAAAAGAATTGAAGTATTTTGTTTCAGCTTGAATGGCAGTGGTAGAAAGGGGAATGTGAAAGTGTGTTTAAAGCTGTAGGATTTGGAGTTTGTTCGGCAATTAGCTATACTGATAAACCTTTTTTCAAATTCAGTTTTGTATTCAAATTAAAGTTTTCTGTGTGTTTACACTGTCGAAAGTAGCCTGTAATTTGGGATGTGCATTGAAATATTGAATATATGACCAGGTCTCAAAAATATGGGTATTTGCGACATCTAATTTTCAAACACATTAAATTGCGTCTAGTTGAATGGATATTACATATATATGCATACGAGACGAGCTATTTTAATGGTCTAATAAAATCTTTCTTTTCTTTTAGTGGTACCAGTGTAACCTAGACTCTTTGCCGGCAATAATCTCAACGAAATTTGTTCAACTGGGTCCAGATCAAGATACAATAGAGTTTTTAGAGCAATCTGAGAAAAAATCCGATTGGCTTTTTATGCAATTATGGCATTCATTGGTTAAACTTTTCCTGGGTGTATTTATGACTCAAACTTCAATAAATGGGTAAGTAATTTTCGTTATGTTGTAACTAATTTTTTGCTATTTTTTTCAAATAAAATAATATTAGTTCAATTTAGTTTACTGCATTACAGAAAAACCTTTAGTAAAAGAATATTTTTTAGTGCCCTGTTTTTGACGAAAGTCTTAGATCATCAATATAATTGCACTTTGTCCATCACTTTTCAAAAAAGTTCTTCCCTATAATCACTTTTTAGGTTTTTTCTCAAAAAATACCTATTTTACACATATGTTCGATGTATTTTACATTACGGGGCATTTAGCAATTATTCTTAAATACAATATTGTTTACTCGCTTTGTGTATTTAACATGTCATTTATATTAAAATATTAAGTTTGCCGTCAAAAACATCATTGGATAGTTCTTGCAATGATAACTAAACTCAATTAAGATAACTAAAACATTACCTGAAACAGGTGTCTCTTTAAAACTCAACTTTGGATTTGGAATAACAAAACATAACAACTGACTTGTAAACGAGAATTTAAAATAATAGGCATGGAATAGCAATTTCAAAAACCGAAGAAAAATACTCTATCGAAGACCACTGGAATCAGATCAAAACCATCATGCAGCACACAGAAAACAAGCGGTGCAGTAAGTGATACAGTGGACTAGCGCAAATCATACTATGTTTACTGTATTTTTAAAACTGAATAAAGTTATTTTATTCTATTTTTATAGATTTTATTAAAATAGAAAAGGTTTACTTGTTGAATAATGCACTTTCTTTATCGCGTCGATGGACTCTTCCAACTGTTTACTGTGACTGCAAACCACGAACCGCTATTTCGTGGCGCTACTTCCGTAAGGGTCGCCTCAGACTTTTACTATAGAGAAAAAGTAATACAATACCAGTCAAGAAGCATGGCTTTAAAATATATAAAACTCAGAATAATCGGAAACGTCAATATATGACTTACGAAATCTTAAGACTGCTGGACAACAAGCGAAAACAGCAAAATAAAACATCAAACAATACAATGAAATCCGTGTAATAAAAAAGTCTAAAAATATGTACCGAGTTTAATATATGTGCCAAAAGCTGAAATTACATATTTGAGAACTGTGATAACGGACCAACTAGATCCAGGCATAGAAATAAAACGTAGAATAGCAATGACTAAAACTACTTTTATGAAAATGAAGTCATTTCTTTGCAATAACCATCTCAGTTTAGAACTAAGGCAACGAATGGTTAAGTGCTATGTTTGGTCCGTACTTTTGTGTAGTGCAGAAGTGTGGACGCTAAAAGTATCGATCATGAAAAAAATTTAAGCATTGGAAATGATCGTCCACAAAGATAAGAACTGCTAAAGACTGTTAAACGTCGAAAAATGTCTTATCTGGGACATATAATAAGGGGAAGTCGATATAAAATATTACAACTGATCCTTAAAGGCAAAATAGAGGGCCGTAGAGGTGTAGGAAAAAAAGAAGTTTCTTGGTTAAAAAACATTCATGAATGGACGCAGGTACCAAATGCAGGACAATTATTCCATATTGCAGAAGATCGAGAAGCCTTTGCAATGGTGATCGCCAACGTTGGATAATTCTGATATGGCGCCCTAAGAAGAAGAACGAAAGGTGAAATTAATAGACGGTACTTATATGACAGCTGCAAATAAGCAGCTATAAAACCAGCAAAGAAGAGGAGAATAACCGGATCTGATGAAATATCAAGCGGGAGAATCAACATCACTAACAAAAATTTGTCTATATTTATTGTTTTTGCCTGTCATGTATAAGTTTTCTTCTTTCTGTCTGGATGTTAATTCTTTATTGTATTTTTAGCATTCTGTGATCGCTACCTGTGTTTATCGTGTTCACACTAGTGTATTGAATATTACGTTTTTTTCGTTGCATAGAACAGTATATTTCTTTATTTTTTGTCCTATTTGGGCTTTTTGCAAAGTCCATTCTCTTCTCTGGTTTTTTAAAGAACGTATTGGTTATATTTGGAGACAACGAAGTATAGCTGGTGGAAAAATACATATACCTTGGACACAAAATAAAGATCACAAGAGACAACCAAACATGCAAACTACGAAGAAGAATAAACCTAGCATGGGCAGCTTATGGAAAGCTCAAAGACATCTTTAAAAGCGATATACCCATTACTTTAAAACGTAAAACATTTGACCAATGTGTGTTGCCTGTGATGACCTATGGTGCCGAAACTTTGATATTGACAGCTACAAGTTCTAAAACGCTGCAAATAGCTCAGAGGAAAATAGAAAGATCAATGCTCAGTATTGATCTATGTATGCCTCGTGACCGAGTTTCAAATAAAGACTTAAGATGAAGAACAGGAGTTACCGATGTAATTATATATACCTATATATATGTTACCTATATAATAGGCCGAGATTAGACAAAAGAAGTAGAGGAATACCCCCTACACGATGGACTGACGATTTTAAGAAATTTGATGAAAAGTGCTTAAGACAGAGCACAATGGACAAAAATGAAGGAGGCCTGTGTCCAGCAGTGGACGCAAAGGGCTGGATGATGATTGGTTATATATAGGTTGTTTTCTTTTGCTTAGTTTACTAGTATTTCTTCTCTTATATTTCTTTCTCCTAATTTAAAGGTTTTATTAAAATTTCATTCTGGTTTTCTTTACAGTTTACTTCAAGCATTAGCAAGAACCATTTTACCAGACCAGACAATCGCAAGTGCGACCTGGTCGAAACGTTGTCAAAATTATGGTTTTTATTAAAACGAAAATTATTCAATGTCGAGTCAAACCTGGGAACCAGAGAGAGCACATATAGCTTACTATTGAAATGAGAAGAAGCATACATTTGACTTCGACATCATCAAAATTTTAAAAACCGAGCAAAACAAAAAGAAGAAGGAGCTAAGCGAATCAATACAAATAAAAAGAAATACCAACGCAATCAATGTCAAAAAAGAGACTCAGAACCTATTTTCCAATATCAAATCTTCAGAATTCATATCCGAAATTGGACAGTATAATTTTATCACCCAGTAGACCGAATGAATTTATTTGTTAATAAATACACACACGTAGTTTATTAGGTTACATACGGATTTGGTCAATTATGAACAATATAATTTGGACATCAGTCAAAAGTGCTGACAAAGTTAAACAATTTACATAAATTAGACACACATATCACGCGAGGCCCGCGAATATATTGACCCAATTAAAACTTATATAAAACTAATATCTCTTGCCTAGAGAAGCATTCAATCAATATTCACTCAACAAACTTGATAGTCTTCAGCGATCAACTGCAACAGTCTCTACTCAAAGTAATCCCGGGTCAACACCCATAGTGTACGTCTCATCAATAAACTCTGCTACCATTATTTGGTGTTTCCATTACAACTGAACGAACATCTCCACTGAGCCAACGAAGGGAATTTTTTGTTCACCTATATATAATAATGAATTGATTACGGTTGTCGCCGCTTCTCCGCCCCCAATTTCCATCTTTTTCTGTCATACGCAGTTGCCTCTTTTAAGTCTCATGCCGCCATTGCTTCATCATTATCGTTGCGCCAACTTATTCGTGGTCGTCCTCTCTTTCTTTTTTCAGGAGGGATCCATACCAGTACTCATCTAGGCCATCTGTACTCTGGTCTTCTTTTAACATGTCCGAACCAGATTAATTGTTTCTTTTCTATGCCATCATTGATATTTCGCTTCATTTTCATTTCGTTTCTTATTTGTTTTTTTCTCACTCTCTCAAGTCTCGATCTACCGCAGCTTCGTCTCAAATAATCCATTTCTGTCGTCATAAATGTGTTTATATTAGTTTTGGTGACGTCCCATACTTCCGAACCGTAAAGTGTAACACTTTGGACTATACTACCGTACTTGTGTTTCTGGTTTCTCGTCGAACTATTTTTTGTCAGAGAAGAAAGTTCAAGGCGCGGGTCGCTACTCTGTCCTTGTTTATTCTTTTCCTGATTTCATCTGCCCTATTTCCCTTCTTGTTGAAAGTGACCCCCAAATATTTACACGATTACACAGGTGCTTGATTTTGTCGTCTTCCAAGACTAGGTCACATATTTCATCTGTTCCAACTGAGAGATATTCACATTTTGTCATATTCATGTTTAGACCTGCCACCTCATATTCGTCTTGCAGTTTTCTTACCATATAGCTAAAATCGTAGCTGTCTTCGGCAATTACTACCTGGTCATCCGCAAAGAAAAGTGTATATAGCGTGTTTTCTTCCACCGTTATTGCCATGTTTCTACATTTTTTTACCCATTTCACTAAGGATATGTCCAAATAAATTTTAAATAAGGTGGATGACAGACAGCAGCCGTGTCTTACTCCCTTTGTTGTTTAAAAAGAAGACGTGATTTCTTGTCCTATTTTAATTTTTGCAAAGTTTTGTTCGTAGTATTTTTGAGTGGCTGTAATAAGAATTGGGTTTATTTTCAAGTTACACATTTCTATCCATAGTTAGGTCGGTACACTGTCATATGCTTTTTCCAAATCTATTAAAGCTATATGGGTTTCTCTATTTCTCTGCACTCGTTTTTCCATTGCAATTTTTAATGTGAAAATATTATCCATAGTGGAGCGTCTGGCCCTAAATCTTGCTCTTTCTTTGGTTTGTTTGTCTTTAATATCATTTTCTTCGTAAGGTTTCGTAGTACTTTTGGTATAGTAGGCCTATAGTAGCAATCACTGCGATCCCTCCATAGTTTTTAGGATCCGTCTTTGTGCCTTTCTTCTGTATTGGAGAGATATACGATTGTCTCCATTCTTCTGGAACTTCTTCTCCGTTTAAGCATCTTTCGAATAATTTTCGGATTATTTCAAACAGTTTTGATGATCCATACCTAATCAACTCTGGATGTATTCCGCCTGGGTCTGGAGATTTTCTTTTACTCAGAACCTAAATAAAATATATTTCAATCTGATTTAAATAATATTAAATATAACACCACAAAAGACTTTTGAAGTTAGAATATATCTCCACTTTACCTACTTCGA